TCATACCGTTATTTATTCGATGCTCACCATGACCATGGCCAATTGGCTACAGTCGAATCATCTCGTTCGGTCTACCGTGATGCACTGCTCTGGGCAATATGATAGCGTCGATTATTAAACACGGGGGCTCAATGGGCTGATTTGATTTGATTATCGAACTAGGTATTTGTACTTGAATATGGCTGGTCGATGAAATCGGTCGTAGCTGTGAAACCAAATCTTATATCCGGATGCTATACAGGCTTAAAGTAAGTTCACAAAGGGTGTATTTTGTTGAGACTCGTATACTAAGGACCAATCGTCAATAGATGGCTAATGTAACGTTCAATGTTGAGCTCCTTGGCGACGCCTAAAGTTCGTATTCAATATAGACGCAGAGATGAGACGATGAAAAACAATGCCGGGAAGCGCGCGCCCTGTCGACTTTAGTCTGCACGGACTTGCCGAGAGCACCACATCTCGATAGTTGTGCCCAAAATAGGAAAACAAGCTAACCCTTCAAGTTGCACCGCCTATTAATTCTAGTTATGGACGAGTTATGGGCGATTAGTCAGATTCACCGCTGGTCGACCTATCACAATTACAGGTAAATAACAGTTGCAAGAAACGGATCGCATTGCCAAGGGAAACATAGACCAGTTGACTCTGCAACTAAGGGAAAAGTGAACTAGTTATACTAACGTAGTATACATTAGTTACGCCACCGCCGGCACGTTACGAGATGAGGGGAGTCCGGGAGGCAAAACGGTAGCGGCATGCTTTGGATTCCTTACTTATGTTTTGGTGAGCATGACAATACCTAACCCATCCCATTATGGATAACTCCTCGGGAGAGCCCGCTGCCGACCTGGTTAGGTCAGTGGCTGAATTACAAACTGCCGCCCGCGCTTGATTGGGGTGACAGGGGAGTATGATTGGTTCTCTGGGGTAAAAGTTCGTATTGCTGACCGGCAAGTTTAATCCTCGTCCATCACGATGTTTTCGCAAAGTGAATGCATGGCATTGGCATGGCATCATCGAAAAAAACTGTGACTATTACCAGCTGGTATTTCCGCGGGGCAGGGCGGATGTAGATCGTCATGTTACTGAGTCAAGCGGGCCACTATGATGAACTTGTTCGACGACATTTTTATATAAAGTGATTCAGTTTCGACTTCATGTCAGACAATCTACTCATCACCGGCATCAGCTTCCATCAGCTTCACCTTCACTTTCACCTTTGAGTGTCTAAGATCACATCGACAGTAACATCGATATCACTATAACCACGAACATCAACCCCCATCATCAACAATGGCCAAGTTCACCACCCTTCTTACTGCCGCTGGTGCCGCCAGCCTTGCCTCTGCCTCTCCCATGCAGCCTCGCCAGGTCATCCCTAACTACCCTCCCAACGAGCTCTCTACCGGCTTCCGCCTAGTCGCCAACGTAACTGACCCGGCAACCGATCTGACTCCCTCGGTCGACGGCTGGGAGCTACAGGGCATCCACACCGGTGCCGGCCTGAACGACGCCGTCCTCACCTCGGACAAGGGAAGAATCTTCTACCACAATGGTAAGTAACACCCCTACATATAGAATTACCACATCAAAGACTAACGACATCATCCAGGAACCGCGTCAGAGATCCACTACGGCCAAGGCAGCATCCTAAGCGACGGTGGCAGCCCCCCCTTCCCCTACGGGATCTACGTGCAAGCGGAAGACGCCTTCGACGCAACCTACCCAGCCGAGCACGACGTGAGCATCAACGTCGGCTCCGGCACCATCGGGGTGTCTCTGCTCGCCTTCCCAGACCCGTACTTCTACCTCACCGCCCACGCGCAGGGCACATACGTAGCCTGCCCGCGCACGGTGTCGTACTACAACGCCGAGTACAACGTCGTGCGCTTCGCGTACGATACCTTTGACCAGGACACTGCGCTGTTCGTGCGCAACGTGCCCGAGGGATGCACGGCTATCACGCTGATTCCGGAGTGTGATACTCTGGCGGACCTGCCGGAGGGCAGTCTCTCTAGCCATGAGTTTGCTGCTGAGTCTAAGTGCTATAAGGATGTTTCTGCTATCAACTGGCCTGAGTACGGACCTTAAGGGTTCTTAACGACACCTGACAACACTTCTTGTGGTCTTATGTGTGGGCTGTCGATGCGGGAGCTAATAGGGGGCTGGTGAAGGGAGCAAGTGAATGGATCGGAGGAAAAAGATAATGGTGGGATTGACAGGATTAGAGATAGAGAAAAGTTTCGCGCACTTCTATAATATTGGTAATCTTAATAGAAAAATAATTTCTTGCGCTTAAGATTCAGCTCTCTAGTTGGTTCTCGTGAGTTCTTGGTTTGTTGATTTGAACAGTCATGAATATAAGATTTTATAATTGCTTGAATAGACGCTTGAGCAGAAATTGATGACATAGTAGATTATTGCGGAACACCACTCTTCTCTTGGTACTCAATATTGAAATTAAATTAGATTATGGAATATGTTGAGTGGGAGATGCCGGGCATTTGGTATCCTCATATGAAACTCGAAAATGACAATCAGTAGTTAGATAGGTGTGCTGTACGAACATATTCTTCAAAGATCTAGTAACTTAACAAACCATCCAGTATTGCATAACGTTACAGTTCAGGGGTTGCTTGAACTAGAGGTAAGGCAGCATCAGATACCTGAACCGATAATTGTCAACCTTTCATAGCGAAAAGCGATTACTAGCATATCGTTTCCAGTGAATACGACCCCAGCTCCGAACTTTAGACTCCAGAAGCGGAGATAACTACAGTCGTCTAAGGTAAGACCATCAACACATGACGTCGGCTGTCCACATCGTAATGAATATACCGCTAACACCAATGCAACAACATGGAATGACTCCCAAGCTGTTTCAAAAACAGTTGCAATCTTGAAGAGGGGTGGACAGTAGTTGTTTAGTTATTAAGTTTCAAAAAAGATAATCCACCAACTATCCAGATAGCATGTTTCAATATCAAGGACAATCATCTTCCGCAGTCCCAAAATAGTAATCGTCGCAACTCGGCCTCCCGATTGAAATCTTGATCACTCGGTGCGCATTGTTGAGTTATTGTCGTCTCATAGATGGAAAAGGCAACCCGAAGCCAAGCCTTTCAATCCACATGATGACGTTCACGATTCGGAGACTGCCCTGAGAGCAGGAGCACCGTCGTCTAAGTCCCGACCTCGTCGTCAACACACGGCTGTGCTGCCTCCGAGACAGCAATTGCGGCGGTTTTGCATCTCATACATGCACACGCAAATTCTCGAATGTAAATAAGCAGTCATTATATAAAGATCGGCTTAGTCGTCTCTTCTTGAGGAAGCGTTGCCAAGCAGCAGCATTGAGGATACTTGCCCGAACTCCATCTAGACTTCAATTATATCTAGGGCAGTCCCAGTTGACAAGGATGCAACTCTTAAGTACCGTCCTACTCGGTGCTACCCTGGTAGCAGCCCATGGGTATGTGAACGACTCGACCATCGGCGGCGTGGTGTACGAGTTTTACCAGCCTTACACAGACCCGTATACAGTCCCTACAGTAAGCAATAACCTGCCTACATCACAACAAGTCAAAGGCCAAAGACGACACAAGCGACTAACATCATATCCAGCCCGACCGTATCTCGAGACCTATTCAAGGTAACGGCCCGGTGACGGACGTCACATACGAGGACCTTCAATGTGGTGGATGGACCGATGGCGGCATCGTTGGATCTTCGCCCGCTGCGCTTCATGCACCCGCTGCAGCCGGTTCGGTCGTTACACTTCGTTGGACTTTGTGGCCGACCAGTCACGTTGGACCTGTCATGTTAGTATTGCATTCACATTCCTCACCGTTGAATGCCGTGGCGCTTGAGAAATATATTCTACGCTGCTGCCATAAATCCCTCCCAGTGCTCTCAGGACGGATTATAGCCTCTCAAATGCATAAGGGCATCAACTAACATTCTTTCCACAGAACCTACATGGCAGCATGTCCCAGCACAGGTAAGTGAACAGCAACCTCGAATAAACCTCGTAACTAATATGCTTAATTAATATTGATAAACAGGCTGCAACGACTACATGCCAGGCGACGCAGCAGTCTGGTTCAAAATAGCCGAAGACGGCCGCGACGGGACGTCCGACACATGGGGCGATAGCCCCTTAATGGTAGAAGGGAACAGCGGATACCAGTACACGATCCCCTCCTGTCTGAAGGCGGGCTACTATCTCGTGCGGCACGAGATTATCGCGCTGCACGCCGCGTACGAGTACCCCGGTGCGCAGTTCTATCCTGGTTGCCATCAGCTGCAGGTTACTGGGTCGGGAAGCACGACGCCTTCGGCGAATCTGGTGTCTTTCCCTGGTGCTTATGCGGGAAGTGATCCGGGCATTACGTATGATTCTTATACGGCGCAGACTTATACTATTCCTGGGCCTGCGGTTTTCACTTGTTAAATGCTGGGAGGATGATGAAGGGTTGCTTCGGATGGTTGTTGAAGAGGCATTATTGTATTAACCATCGCGGCGTAGTTGTGATTAGAAAAGCAAAATTAGAGATGTTCCCGCCCCTATAAATATACTTTATTCATCCAAGACTGTCTGTGCTTCCTCATATAATCTTAGATATTATAAGAGAAAGAATTAACATTGTTTCCGAAATTCAAGCATCGACAAACCTCCAAGTCTTTGAACGGTACGTGTTAACTTTCCTTTATTGCTTTTGCGACGAGGATATAACTGTAGGCCTTGCTCATAGCATTTCAAGGATTATACTATCAGATTAAAGTATGCAATTCGTCGTCTTAAACCCTCGGGATACTTAGCTTAAATAAGCCGAGTAGCCAAATGATAATACCTAGTTCTGGGGAGATGGCTTATCTAATCCGAACTTTTGATAATTGGCCTGAAGGATTATCGAAGTTCACAATAACAGCCTCTCCAGGTAGACTGTTAAGAATATAGAGCTAATTACGTAAATTGATCTTCATCAAATAACATGATCGGCCTCGTGGCCCAATGGCAAGGCGTCTGACTACGATGAGTTGAGTCTGTAAAGACCCGATGTCGCTATCAGGAGATTCTGGGTTCGACCCCCAGCGAGGTCATTAATTTTTTCCCATTTTTTGGACTTTGATTTCACCAAATCAGTTGCTTGGAGTAAAGGGAGTCTAGAGCTGGCCGAGTTCTTTTGGTTGAAAAACTAGAAGCGCTAAGTAAGGCGCGGACTATATCTGGCGGGTACGGTGGACAGTGTTTTCCCTCACCGTGTATCCACTTCAATTACTCTACTTATCTCCAGATTCTGGACAAAATCGATCACTTCACGAAGTTCGCCCGTAGCACCAAGAATAAGGGTCGTAACTACAGACGTAATTGAATTACCCAAACAAGCGACTCCGACCTGATCAAGTCTTCCACCCCACCGCCCAAGGCTTACTGGACACAGGTGTTGTCGCGCTTCCCGATCCGACAATATCTCAATTACAACAAGGTCATTCGGCTTCTGGCAACTATTGTGTCAGGTGTATTAGTCACCTATAGTGGAGATAGTGGGCCTGGAGTACATATAAGGGGGATTTCCCCCCCTGAGATATTGGAAGGCCGGGGGCCAATTGACTACCCTTTTTCACCTACCTGCTATGTGACTGCTTCAAGGCTTCTATTCACTCTGGAACTAACAACCATGACATATTGCCCCTGGCCGTCAACCTTCGGAAAGTAAGATATACTCGTCGGTCAAGAAGCAACTCGACGCTATCGTGGTTCGTCGTACAAATAACAACTATCACTATACGGACAAATGCCTTCAGCCACCATCAATTGAGGAAATCGAAGCACTCTGTATTTTCGGCAGAGCTTTCTATAGTTTCGGCACTCTTCCTAATGCTATCGAGGCGCTCTTGGTTGAGATAGGATTGATGTTCCTTGCCGTCGCGTGACTCGCGTCACAAGATGCCAAAGTCCCTGAATATTGGTATCGTTACTATACTGCCAAGGCACATACCAACACGAGGTAGTCTTTATAAGTAACCTTTACAACAATTTCGCTATTCCACGTACAAGCATGACAGGGGCTGCCAACGTATGTTAATTAAGCAGGTTCGCTAAGATTTTTTTTGAGCAGTTCTTCTCTCTATTCAAATGATTCAATTGATATTTTTGGGATCGCTTTTTGCTATGCGCATGTATATACAACGTTCTGGGTGAGGGCATTGCTGGCTAGACAAGTTTGGTTCTTTTGATAAGTGTGCTTACTACCAACCGAATTTCATTCTAAGTGTATGGCAAATCAACCTGTTATGCAAAGTCATAAATTTTCTGGCGGCCATAATTTGTCGGGTTATTTTGGGACCTGAAGAGTACTGCTTTGGTGCTGATGGCAGCCATTGAACTACAGTTCTCTTCAACTCTAATACCAGTTCTCAAGTGATCAAATGTCCTGGGCCCGACAAAGGTGTAAAATCCTCTCTGACCCATATTGCACAGCTGCTTTATTGTAATTCCTATAGCCCCCGTATAGGCGACATAGTAATACTTAATTAAGCCCGTCATAAATCCAGAAATATGACGGAATAAACAGCAACCCGGTGTATTAATCGCGGCTCGCCGGGGCAAGACTCCGCTTGAGGTATGGCATCTACTGTGCCACGAGATTCCAGAGCCCTAGCCCAGCGCCGGCAAGGGGCATGAAGATACGGTAGAAATTTAGATCTCCCCACCTCTTGATGAGATGTTTCACAGCACCAAGGCTCAGAGTGTTTTGGCCCTTCACTAGAATAGAAAAGAATCCTTAGTGAGTTGCTTCGGTAAAGACAATTCGAGACGGGATGTGACAGTGAGAATTCCTTGAGGTAGAATCCTCTTAAGGGGTGACTGAGAGAGAAAACGGATAACAGAGGAAGCATGATGAAGGAAGTGTCCGGGTACTCACCAGATGCTATTAGCGTACTGTTGATGCCCGCTATGAAAACCAGTGTAAACGGCACCAGCAGCAAGTTTGCGACACCACCGCTCGCATATCCCCGCCACTCACGGCCAACGGAGCGGTGTCGATATGCAAGGTAGAAGTAATTGAGTGCCATGACGACCGCTGTAGATGGGATATACAGAGACCGGGTGAATTGCGTGTGCCAGGCTCGCGCGAGGCCGTCTGTTGGCGCACCGCTTTGTAGAATGGCGGGGATTGTGCTGATGGTCAGAGCCCCGATGCCGCCTATGTAACTTATTAGTTTAATCGTGGGAGTATGTATGATTGACTATGACATACCGGATATCCAGGCTGAACCGACGATGCTGCCGGTAGCCGCGATGGTCAGGGGTGTTGATAAGTAAGGCATTGTGTTTGTTGTCGGGGCAGTATACGACACCGGCAGGAGGACTAATGTTCTTGAGATATCAATAAATTATTGGCCAATGTCGAACTTTATGTGTTCTGAAAGTAGAGCTGAAGAACTCAATACGTCGGCCTTCGTCATCGTGACATTTACCCACTTTATATGTTGACGGCCTAAGAAGGTGGGTCGAGATGGCCCGGAAAATCCGGACAAGTTTTTGAGTCCGAAAGTTGTAATATTTCGCATGATCCTGCGGAAAGATCGCCCCTCCATTCTTCATCATGCCATTATCATCCTTGCAGGTTACTATATAGTCAATCACAGTCTTTCGTATAGACCTTATGCATTATTGCTATTTAGAATTGTGGAAATACGCAGTCTAGAATGATTACAATACCGGTAGAAGCCGAGAATCAGTCCCGGCCCCGTCATCACTTTACGCCCTGTCTCCGTCTAGCCGACCGGCCCGGCGAAACCAATTGAGATTCATTACGTTTCGCAATTATTTGCGTGGTAATACGGCGAAATACATGATACTTTTCAAGTCAAATCCTTGGTATTGCTTGTCTAGCGCGATTTGTTAGACACCTCCTGTTTTTAAACCGGTAGCAATTATAGGAAGCACACGGCCGGGTAAAAATGTGTAATAGTGAACTAGGAATAGAATAAGATCAAGGAAGGTAGAGCCTATTTCTTGTCTAAAGTTACTCTCAAAGACGGTGAAATGATACTATTGACTTTCCCAGTTGCATCCACGTCGAAGATCAGTTCATCCATGGCGGCCGACCCGTAGATGACCGATGCGACATTGATCCAAGTCGCGCAATCCGTCGAGAACATTGCTGTTGCTTGCGATGGTGCATCCGCATCTTCAAATACGGCTTTGAACACGACTCGTTTACCCCCGTTAGGGTTCTGTCCTTCAAGTCCTGTGGGATACAGTCGGATGCGAGGTGTCAAGGGAAGGTAACCTGTTCAAAACAAACCGTCAGTATTTGGCCGTCGAACTGGAAATTAATGGAGATTCGAGAGCTGCTGGGATTAGGCCAGCATGATAGATCGCTGTATATCGTACCGTTTTGCAGCACTGTAGATATATAAGCAAAATCTGTTCCGTTACTGATCCATTGTGATACCTTCAGACCCGGTTGGTCATCTGTCTCAATGGTCATCGACGAGTTGAGCTGGGTAAGGTTGGCGAAAGCATAGTGTCCGTTATAAATGGCACCCGCCTCAGCACGAGCTGCTTCTTCGATTGCTGGAATGAGAGGACCTCCAATAATATCTAAAAATAGATTAAAACCTGCTTCTAGGGCTCAGTTCATTTCGCTGCTGTAATTCGTACCTAGAAAGTTGAAGTTCGCGTTGGCAGGTAGATCTCCTGCTAACAGAACCGATATCCCAATATCGTAATCTGGAACTAATGATGGTAAGCATCAGCATAAGCATCGAAGCGGGTGCAATGTCTGGTAGATAGGATATCAAACTTGGCATTTGTTAGACTTCGACAATCGGAGAACGTAATACATACTTATAGCCAGAACGGAGCTATAATCACTGATCCTCCCAGCTTTGTTGAACGCTGTGATCCAGCGATATGGTTGGCCTGCAACGTTTATCCTTCTCGCTCCCCACTACATCATTTTTGGTCAGTGGATTGTTATCACTTCTGAGGCTTTTGATTGGAAACACAAAGCGCAGCCTTGGTCTCTAAGAGTAGCGACGCAGGAAGAAAAAAAATTTCAGGAATAACTCACCGGGGCGCCAACAGATGCATGTGGATCGGTAGAGAATGAGAATGGCTTGAGCCAGCGTCTGGTGATGACAGGGTCGAGAAGCTTATAGCTGAGTATTGCACGCCCGATTTCGGACAAATCTCCTACAGAAGTGTATATATTTCCGGCTCTGCACCATTGTCAGCTTTCACGATTGCTAAGTATGACTCCCTTTTCTTTTTTCCTTTTTTTCTTCTTTTTGTGGAAGAGAAATAAGCTGGGAATGAATATCTTACCCCACGGCCTCACCTAGGTCAAATGACCATCCTGTTGGTCCTGGATCACCTGGAATGATTCCTCGTGAGTCCTCAGGAGCTCTCAAGAACGTGTTATTTAGGCCAAGGGGTTTGAGAACTGTCTCTTCTAGCAGAGACTCGAAGGTCTTTCCTGTGATAGACTCCATGGCATAACCTCTGGATTTCTCTTGTCAAATGGATACTATTTCAAGAACGAGATTCGTGACCTATACTACTTACAGTAGTTGGAATGCCACGTTGGAGTAGGCAGGAGTGGTAAATGGAGGCAATGATGGACTTGGAAATGAGATTAGTACAAACCCTGAGTGTAAGATAAGGGAACCAAGTTCTGAAATCGAATAATCAGGTAGGATACTTACTAGAATTGCTCGATACCACTGAAAAACTCTGGAAAAGGTGAGTAGAAGTCGTCTGGTGAGTTGGAAGACTCACGTTTCCGGTTACAAGTAGGAAAATCCCCACAAGGAGGCAGGTCCTGAGCACTCAATGGGGGAAATCCATACTGTAGCACGTTATCTCGCGTTGTCGGTGTTTGTGTCAATTCTCCTAATAAGCCATCTATGTTCTAATCAGTTATCAAGGCATGGTGTAGCCCTATGTTCGAGTCACGACTAACAATCTCGTGGGATACCTGTCATCTGCGTGGCGAGGCCTCCAATCGTGACTTTTTCCCATGCGGTATCTGCCACGGGGTCCGAATAATTCGCCAATGTCTGGAGCTCAGGGACATAACTTGTGA